ATTCCCATCTCTTTCAGAATTTTCCACAGTTTATTGTGATCCACACAGTCAAAGGCGTTGGCATAGTCAATAAAGCAGAAATAGATGTTTTTCTGGAACTCTTGCTTTTCTGATGATCCAGTGGATGTTGGCAACTTGATCTCTGGTTCCTCTGCCTTTTCTAAAACCAGCTTGAACATCTCGCAGTTCTCGGTTCACGTATTGCTGAAGCCTGGCTTGGAGAATTTTGAGCATTACTTTACTAGTGTGTGAGATGAGTGCACTTGTGAGTAGTTTAAGCATTCTCTGGCATTGCCTTTCTTAGGGATTGGAATGAACACTGACCTTTTCCAGTCCTGTGACCACTGCTGAGTTTTCCAAATTTGCTGGCATATTGAGTGAAGCACTTTCACAGCATCATCTTTTAGGATTTGAAATAGCTCAGCTGGAATTCCTCTTGATGAAAGTGAAAGAGGAGAGTGAAAAAGTTGGCTTAAAGCTCAACATTCAGAAAATTAAGATCATGGCATCTGGTCCCATCACTGAATGGCAAATATATGGGGAAACAGCGAAAACAGTGGCTGACTTTATTTTTTGGGGCTCCAAACTCACTGCAGATGGTGACTGCAGCCATGAAATTAAAAGACGTTTACTCCTTGAAAGCAAAGTTATGACCAACATAGACAGCATATTAAAAAGCAGAGACATTACTTTGTCAACAAGGATCCGTCTAGTCAAGGCTATGGTTTTTCCAGTAGTCATGTATGGATGTGAGAGTTGGACTATAAAGAAAGCTGAGTGCAGAAGAATTGATGTTTTTGAACTGTGGTGTTGGAGAAGACTCTTGAGAGTCCCTTGGACTGCAAGGAGATCCAACAAGTCCATGCTAAAGGAGATCAGTCCTGGGTGTTGATTGGAAGGACTGATGTTGAAGCTGAAGCTCCAATACTTTGGCCACCTGATGCAAAGAGCTGACTCATTTGAAAAGACCCCGATGCTGGGAAAGATTGAGGGCAGGAGGCGAAGAGGACGACAGAGGATGAGATGGTTGGATGGCATCACTGACTCGATGGACATAAGTTTGGGTAAACTCTTGGAGTTAGTGATAGACAGGGAGGCCTGGCGTGCTGCGGTTCATGGGGTCACAAAGAGTTGGACACGACCGAGCGAATGAACTGAAGTGGAATTCCTATCAATTAACAGCATAGGGGACTTATTTTTATATGAGGTATATTTACTATGATATATAATAACACTAGTGGGCTTCCCTGGTGGTTCAGATGGTAAAGAATCTGCTTGCGATGCAGGAGACCCATGTTCGATCCTTGGGTCGGGAAGATCCCCTGGAGAATTTTAGGATATTTTAAGTGGAATTCTTATGAATTAACAGCATGGGGGACTTATTTTTATGTGAGGTATATATACTATGATATATAAAAATACTAACATGTATTATATTTTGTGTGCTTGTCAGAATCTAGTTGCATCTTAATTTTTCCAAATTTTTAGCCACTCTCCCAAAGTCTACTGAATAATTTATCCTTCCATGCAAGATTTCACAGCGCCACTATTAATTTTGAAGTTCCCATGTACAAATGGGTCTGTTTCTGGCCTTTGTTCTGTTCCATTTGACTGTTTCTATGGTAAAACCAAACTTAAAATTTATTGCAAATTTGAAATACTTGGTGGGATATGTCTTGCCTCATTATTCTTCTTTTGAAATTGTACTTTTACATCCTCTGTATTTTTCTTAATACTTTTGGGATTTTAACTGGGAGTTCATTGAATTTATACAGTTAAGGAAAACCTCATATTTTTTAATAATGTTTTGTAGTATCTCCCATTAAAGTGTTACATATTTTGTTTTGCTTACTGCTAGATACTTTGTGGGACTTCCCCAGTGGCTCAGATGGTAAAGCGTCTAGTTTTGTTGCTTTTGTGAATGGTATAATTTTTAAAATTTGCATAATTTTGCTTAGAATTTTTACATCTATCACTGTGCTGAATATAAAATATATTTTCTCTGTGTTTGTATCACTGAAAAGGTAACTATGCCTTAAAAGTTGGAAAGGATACAATTAAATTATTTCTTTATTGACATGTAACATGCATGCAAAAAATTGCACGAAGGAATGGGTGAATGGTATTTTTAATTTTTTTTCCATTTATTTTTATTAGTTGGAGGCTAATTACTTTACAACATTGCAGTGGTTTTTGTCATACATTGAAATGAATTAGCCATGGATTTACATGTATTACCCATCCCGGTCCCCCCTCCCACCTCCCTCTCCACCCGATCCCTCTGGGTCTTCCCAGTGCACCAGGCCCGAGCACTTGTCTCATGCATCCAACCTGGGCTGGTGATCTGTTTCACCCTAGATATACATGTTTCGATGCTGTTCTCTTGAAACATCCCACCCTCGCCTTCTCCCACAGCTTCCAAAAGTCTGTTTATACATCTGAGTCTCTTTTTCTGTTTTGCATATAGGGTTATCGTTACCATCTTTCTAAATTCCATGTATATGTGTTAGTATACTGTAATGGTCTTTATCTTTCTGGCTTACTTCACTCTGTATAATGGGCTCCAGTTTCATCCATCTCATTAGAACTGATTCAAATGAATTCTTTTTAATGGCTGAGTAATATTCCATGGTGTATATGTACCACAGCTTCCTCATCCATTTGTCTGCAGATGGGCATCTAGGTTGCTTCCATGTCCTGGCTATTATAAACAGTGCTGCGATGAACATTGGGGTGCATGTGTCTCTTTCAGATCTGGTTTCCTCAGTGTGTATGCCTAAAAGTGGGATTGCTGGGTCATATGGCAGTTCTATTTCCAGCTTTTTAAGGAATCTCCACACTGTTTTCCATAGTGGCTGTACTAATTTGCATTCCCACCAACAGTGTAAGAGGGTTCCCTTTTCTCCACACCCTCTCCAGCATTTATTGCTTGTAGACTTTTGGATAGCAGCCATCCTGACTGGCGTGTAATGGTACCTCATTGTGGTTTTGATTTGCATTTCTCTGATAATGAGTGATGTTGAGCATCTTTTCATGTGTTTTTGTGCCATCTGTATGTCTTCCTTGGAGAAATGTCTGTTTAGTTCTTTGGCCCATTTTTTGATTGGGTCATTTATTTTTGAATGGTATTTTTTAAAGAGATTTTAAGCCTTTTAAAAAACTGAAGTATAGTTGATTTATAGTATTGTGTTAGTTGCAGGTGTATAGCAAAGTGATTTGGCTATCTATATTAATAACTAAATATATATATTTAAAAAAAGATTATATTCCAATATAGTTCATTATAAGATATTGAATATAGTTCCATATATATATATATATATGTATATAGTATATACATATATAGTGTATATATACACTATATAAGTTCTTGTTGTTGAATGGTATTGTCTATGCTACTTTCTAGTGTAAAATTTTGGTGTTGACTTTGTACCCAGCATCCTTTATAAACTCTCATGTTAATTTTGATGGTTAGTTTATCTGCAAATAATAGTATTTTTCCCCCTCTTCCTTTCCATCCTTATACTTCCTAATGTCTGTCAATCCATCTCTCTCTTTTTCTGTCTCACTGACTTTTGGTTTTGTTAAAATACGTTAATAACAGGACTGGTTGATGGTAGGCATTCCTGTCTTGTTGCTGTCTTTAATAAGAATTCTAAAGTTTAACCAGTAAGTGTGATGTTAGCTGAAATTTTTGGTAGATATGATTTGTTATTTAAAGAATGTCCTACCAAAAAAAAAAAAAAAAGAATGTCCTACCATTCCTAGTTCTTCAGCTTTTTTTTTTTTTAAACCATATATATTGAGTTTTATTGGATGCCTTTTCTGCATCTATTGAAAAGATCTCCATTTGTGGTGAAGCAGTTACTATAACATTGTAGGTTGTATTCCCAGCCTGCATTTGCCTTCTTCTTCATGCTGCAGAATATTCATTTTGGGGGGAGTTCAGCCTCTAAACTCTTCATGTTACTGGGAGTAAGGATGACTCAGCTCATGGGTAAATCCTGATTTCTGTAAGGTAGTTCTTGGTTTGGGTGACCACATGTCTTAGTGCTGGCCTATGGGATCTATGTTATTTCTTATTTAGATATATAACATTCTCAGCTGTTACTTCATCAGCTATTGCTTGTCTTGTTCTTTTTATTTTCTTCTTTTGGAAGCATTATTAAATAGGTGTTTATATTTCTGCATTCATCCTCTGTGTCTTAGCTCATTTTTATTCTCTCCTTCTCTTTTTGCTAATACATCCTGGGAGAATTCCTGAGACTGATTTCACAGTTCAGTAATTTACTCTTTACTGGTATCCATTATGCAATTTAGGTTATCTATTGAGCTTTTCATTTCAGGAATTTTATTTGTATTTCCACAATTTTTTTTTGGTAGGGCATAGGCAAGTGAGTACATAACTTAAAAACTATTGCACCCTGTGACCTAGAAAGAAACAATACTCACAAAAATGGAAAAGACCGATACACTGAAAAAATTGTTTAGTAAAGCGCAATAAGTGGTTTAAAACATAAGCACCATACTCTCTTTCTTCCCCTCTCCCTGTCTCTTTGTCTCTCTCCTCAAACTCCAGATTTTTAAAGAGATATTTTGAAACTGACTCAGGATTTATGAAGAATAATAGTGAGGGAAAAAAATAAATTTAATCAAAGGAGGAGGCAGTGCAAGCATTCTTACAAAGAAGCGACGTCCCAGTGAGGTAGGAGTCACAGGTGGGAACTCCAGGCAGAAAGACTCACAGCTTTGGGCTTCCTTGCTGGCTCAGCTGGTAAAGAATCCGCCTGCAGTGTGGGAGACCTGGGTTTGATCCCTGGGTTGGGAAGATCGCCTGGAGAAGGAAATGGCAACCCACTCCAGCATTCTGGCCTGGAGAATTCCATGGATTGTATAGTCCATGGGGTCCCAAAGAGTTGGAAGCGACTGAGTGACTTTCACTTCACTTCAGGGTGAGGAGGGAGTGGGAGTGGCCGTCAACAAAAGGACTGACTAGAATTTTACAGGAGGGCATTTGTTCCAGCTGTTGTGAAGATCTCGCTGCTACCTCCATATGCACCACCCTGGTTACGGGAAAATCTTTTCTCTGGAGGAATGGCACTTGGGTTAGGTGTTCGGGCAGTACCCTAGAGGGAAGCAGAAAGTCAATAAATAAACAGAAGACCCCCCACCCCTTCCCACTGGAGACCTAGCCAAAATCCTTATGCCTGGACAAGACGTGAAATGAGATCGACAGGAGTTCTGCTCATTGCTCAGATAGATTTCCCAAACCAGGCCAGCTGAAACTCTTGTAGGGGAGCACAACCTCTGAAATGAACTCATGGAAAGGAATCACAGGAGGGTGCAAGAACACACAGCATGAAAAAGAGGCGACAAACAGAAGAACTTACACGTGAGGGAACAGAACTATCGAAACAACCACAAGAGGCGTTTAAAATAAGCATAAATCCATAGGCCAATAGAAAGTAAGGTTGTGTTTCATGATGATGACATAAGTAGAGGTGGTTATTTTCTTCAAAGTCATATTCTGGGGAGGCAGTACTGTAGGGGTACAAACACAGGCTATGGAATCAGGCTGCCTAAAGCTACATTCCATCACTTACTGGGTCTGTAACATCTGGCAAGTCACTTACTTTCTTTGTGTTTTGAACTTGGTGTTTGGAAAATGAGAAAAATAATATTACATCTACAATTATCAAGGATGAATTTTTAAAAAAATCCTTGTGAATAAGCAACAAGGCTTGACGAATCAGTAGATAGATAAGTAGATAGATAGCACTTTCTGGGTCTGTTTCCTTGGATAACCCTGACTAGTTCACATGCAATATTGGAGGATGGAAGCGGGATAGAGGGGTTCAACACTCAGGTGTTCCTGAGCAGGAGGCATGCTGGGATCTGGAGACAGACATGCGAGGACAGAGGGAAGCTGAGACTGAGGTAGGCGGTGGATGGGCCCCTGCGATGCACAGCTGATGTTTGTCAAGCGCAGTGAATTTAAAGCTTTGTTCTCACTCACATCCCAAGGACAAAGCTAGTGGCAGAAGGCGAGCTTTGCTAAAGTAAAGCGATAAGGTACCTACTCTGAGGTCAAGGAAGACTTCCCTGTCTGCACATGCACAGGAAGGATCCTTGGGGGTCAAAAAGGGTGGACATGCACCCACGGGCCCCTGTGATGGGATCCATCTTAGCAAAAAGCTGCATGTGCATGCATGAGGAGGGTCCTAGGACTCAAAAGCTGTGAGAAATAGAAACAAGATAACTGGACAAATGCAAAAAAAGGCCCAGAAGGACTGTTTTACATTGAAGAGGGAAATTTACAACTCATACCCAGCTAGAAAGAGCTTCATGCTGGTTCTGCTTCTGTAACTCAGCTTGCGCCTTACAAAGTCATATAAGTTACATAGTTTCATTTGGGGAGGGTGGTACAGAGGGAATGGAAACTTACAACAGTGCTGGGAGCTGAAACTTAGCTCACTCATCCTTGTCCTACTTTTGCAATCACCCAGCCCCTGTAGTTCTGCCTAACCATGTTTGTTTGTGTAAAGGTCAGGAGTGCCACCTGCTTTGTCCTAATGGCTGTTCCCTAACCGCTGTTCTGGGTGCTTGGAAACCCTGTTTAAAATAGCCTATTAACAGTCAACAGTGCCCATTATAGCCTGATGTCATGCACTGCCTATAAAAACTTTGTAACCCCTTTGTTCCGGGTTCACTCCTCTGGGCCCGCTTCCATAATAAACCTGAGTTCTCCAACTCTCCTAGTGCAGTGCTTGAAACAACATATGGGATTTAAATCACCTCTTTCTTGTGCTCCTCATTCAGAATGCCTGCACTTCTCTCTGTGTGTGTATTTCTGCTCTGCTTCTGACTTACCGTGTCCCTCCTCGTTAGAGAGGACACCTATACCCTTTCTTTCTGGGTGTGTATTTCTGCTTTATTTCTGTCTTAAATAAACGAACTGTTTCTCTATGTGCTCTCCCATATGCTATGCTGTGTCTCTAATAATAAACTTTGTACCTGTTTTTACAGTTTTTGCCTCCTTGAAACATTCTTGCTTTCAAACTGGGGGTGGGAGGAAGGTGGAGAGCCAGAGCCACTTTGCTTCTAGCTTTAGCCCCTAGTTGTCTAGTGGCTAAGAGTTCTGATTTTCATCCAGGTTTCCCAGATTCAGTTCCTAGATAGGGAACTGAGATCTCTCTTCAGGACCCTCACTGCTGTCTCTTCCAGATCAAGATCAGGCCAGATGTCTCCAGTGGGTGGGGCCTCTGGTGGTGCAATGAATAAATGAATAAATACTATGTAAATTTCTCAGCAATGAAATAGAGCTGGGGAAGATTAGCCAAGATTACACTATTTATAAACATGGGTTTTAAACACATTATTATTAAAGAGTATAACTGCAGAGAGGGCTTCCTGGAAGGTTCATTAACTTGGGCAAAGTGAAACAAAAATAGCAACACTTTATTTGCATTGCTAGGAAATGAGTCAGAGATTACAATCTGAAGTTCAAAGCTAAGCACCAGGATCCTGGAATTGTATGTACAATTTTATCTGTATGGAAATATACAACTTTTTTCTAGAAAGAAGGTCCTAGATTCTAAAAGTTAAAAACTACCCATCATATGATTTGTTTCCTTGATAAATGAAGTTATCCCTCTCCTTTCAGTTCAGTTCAATTCAGTTCAGTTGCTCAGTCGTGTTCTACTTTTTGCGACCCTATGAACTGCAGCACGCCAGGCCCCCTTGTCCATCACCAACTCCCGGAGTTTACTCAAACTCATGCCCATTGAGTTGGTGATGCCATCCAGCCATCTCATCCTCTGTCGTCCCCTTCTCCTCCTGCCCCCAATCCCTCCCAGCATCAGGGTCTTTCCCAATGAGTCAACACTTCGCAGGAGGTGGCCAAAGTACTGGAGTTTCAGCTTCAGCATCAGTCCTTCCAATGAATACCCAGGACTGATCTCCTTTAGGATGGGCTGGTTGGATCTCCTTGCAGTCCAAGGGATTCTCAAGAGTCTTCTCCAACATCACAGTTTGAAAGCATCAATTTTTCAGTGCTCAGCTTTCTTCACAGTCCAACTCTCACATCCATACATGACCACTGGAAAAACCATAGCCTTGACCAGACGGACCTTTGTTGGCAAAGTAATATCTCTGCTTTTTAATATGCTATCTAGGTTGGTCATAACTTTCCTTCCAAGGAGTGTCTTTTAATTTCATGGCTGCAATCACCATCTGCAGTGATTTGGAGCCCCCAAAAATGAAGTCTGACACTGTTTCCACTGTCTCCCCATCTATTTCCCATGAGGTGATGGGACCAGATGCCATGATCTTAGTTTTCTGAATGTTGAGCTTTAAGCCAACTTTTTCACTCTCCTCTTTCACTTTCATCAAGAGGCTTTTTAGTTCCTCTTCACTCCCTGTCAAAAGGGTGGTGTCATCTGCATATCTGAGGTTATTGATATTTCTCCCGGCAATCTTGATTCCAGCTTGTGCTTCTTCCAGCCCAGCGTTTCTCATGACGTACTCTGCAAATAAGTTAAATAAGCAGGGTGACAATATACAGCCTTGATGTACTCCTTTTCCTATTTGGAACCAGTCTGTTGTTCCATGTCCAGTTCTAACTGTTGCTTCCTGACCTGCATACAGGTTTCTCAAGAGGCAGGTCAGGTGGTCTGGTATTCCCATCTCTTTCAGAATTTTCCACAGTTTATTGTGATCCACACAGTCGAAGGCTTTGGCGTAGTCAATAAAGCAGAAATAGATGTTTTTCTGGAACTCTCTAGCTTTTTCAATGATCCAGAGGATATTGGCAATTTGATCTCTGGTTCCTCGGCCTTTTCTAAAACCAGCTTGAACATCTGGAAGTTCACAGTTCATGTGTTGCTGAAGCCTGGCTTGGAGAATTTTGAGCATTACTTTACTAGCGTGTGAGATGAGCGCAATTGTGCGGTACAGCATTCTTTGGGATTGCCTTTCTTTGGGATTGGAATGAAAACTGACCTTTTCCAGTCCTTTGGCCACTGCTGAGTTTTCCAACTTTGCTGGCATATTGAGTGCAGCACTTTAACAGGATCATCTTTCAGGATTTGAAATAGCTCAACTGGAATTCCATCACCTCCACTAGCTTTGTTGGTAGTGATGCTTTCTTTCTTTCTTTTTTTTTTTTTTAGTGAAGTGCAGTTTATTACACTGGCGGGCCCAAGGCAGAGTCTCCTCTTAGCCAAGGACCCCGACCAGCATTTGTGAAAATCTTTTATACCCCATGTGTACGTGTCCAAACCCACCACCCCAAATCCCTTGAGGCTTACAAAGGAAGGGTAAATACAATCACAATAACCCTATCATTCATGTGTTATGTGTTCAAACAGTTAATAATCAATAAGCCCACAGTTACATTCCAACCAGTTAATAACCTATAAGCCTGTGGTTACTTTCCGATAGATACTGTCCGCAGGCAGGGGTGATTAGTGTCTGTTTTCTCTTAGGTGATGAGCAACTGGATACGATCTTCAAGGTTCCCCTGTCCGAAGGGGGCCTTATCCTTCCATTGTTGTTCCCACAGGCACTAAGCAGAGAGTTCAGAGTCTACTGGAGAGGTGGCCGAGCACGATCAGCACGGACAGGCCTGAGATGGAGTCCAGGCCCTATGAATTCCTTCTTCATTCCCCCTTCTTGATGCTGTTAACTCATATTATGAGCATCATTCATAGGGATATGTTGCACCCTGGCTCTCCAACTGCCAATTAGGGAGAATGACATCAACCTTCAGGTTACAAAGTTCATAATACGTTGTAAAATTCAGGGTCCACAAAGCAGAACTATCAAGGCAACTATAACAGTGGTAAATATAGTTTTCAACCAATTGCCCTTCACCCAAGATAGGACCAAAGTCCAGAAAGAAATGTTTTCATTTGACATTGCTTTTACCTGGTTTTTCATGTCATCTAAAGTAGTCGATACATTGTCAGATAAGTCAGGAATGTATACACAACATTCAACCTTAATTATAGCACAGGTCCCTCCTTGGGCAGCTGTGAGTATGTCCAAAGCCATTTTATTATGAATTACTGCTTTTCTCATTTAGATTTGCTCTTCATTAAAGGCTTGGATGGTTTCTGTTCTATCTAGGAGGGCCTGTTTGTGAAATTAGTCAAGACCTCTACTTTAATCATAATATTTGTTGTCCCTATAGAGGGTACGAAAAAGGCAGCAATATATTCACACCATTGAAACAGATTTTGTCCACCTAGCATGTAAATAAGGTAGATTTACTGGGGCTTGTTGTAGGTTAGGCTTTTGTTACACTGGCATTTATATCAAATGTAACCCCATGACCCAAGTCTATTGACTGTAGGTGTTACACCAAAAGAGCAAGGAGAGGTTATGATTGACAAGAGAGAGGACAGTCTCTACAAGAGCAGAGTGGTTTAAAATCTCCTTGGCGGAGCGGGGACACCCACCAAGAAAGTCCATGCATCACAGACAGAGGCATAGTCCTACATACCCAGAAGTTGTAGGTGTTGTGGAAGTCCGCACAGGAATGTGCCCATGAGGTGAAAGCATTGTCCTGAGTTGAGACGGAAGTTAAATTCAAAATCACGTTGATGAGGCCAAGCAGCAGGAGATGATTGTGCGGCTTCATCCTTAAAGGGCTCATCCGGGATCTTCTTTTCCTTCTTCTTAAGGATGGTCTTAGTCTCTCGAGGGTCAGTGGGGTCCCTCTGTGCAGTCCACTCAGCGTTTTCTGGGTCTGCATGGTATAGTCTCTTCACCCTCGTGTGATGGATCAAGGGACGATACCTGCAACTTTAACTGCAGTAGGGGTAGTTAGAATAATATAAGGGCCCTTTCACCAAAGGGCTAGCAAATCATGTTTCCAATCTTTGACCCACACTTGGTCACCAAGTGTAAACTCATGAATCTGTTCCCCAAGGGGGAACGGCACCCTTTCTTGTACAAACTTAGTTACCCAATGTATTACCTTACCCAGTTCCATCTGCTGTGAAATCCTATCCCCCCTTACCTGAGGCAAATTTGTTGACACCTGTTTTATTATGGGAGGAGGCCTCCCAAACACAGTTTCATATGGAGAATAGCCTTGGGACTGTGGGGCCATCCTGAGTCTGAGCAGAGCCGTCGGAAGCAAGTCCACCCAGGAGCAGTCAGTCTCTCTGATCCACTTGGAGAGTCTCTTTAAGTGTCCGGTGGGTTCATTCCATCTCAGAACTCTGGGCCTATATGCAGTGTGCAGTTTCCATTTGATGTTTGAAGTTTTGCTTACTTGTTGTACTAAATCAGCTACAAAAGCCGGGCCATTGCCTGATCCAATGCTGGTAGGAAATTCAAATCTGGGAACTATTTCCCTAAGCAGGCACTGGGCTACTCCTGACGCTCTTTCAGTCCAGGTAGGAAAAGCTTTTACCCATCTCAAGAACGTACATACCATGACCAGCAGGTAACGGTAGTGTCGGTGAGGTTTCATTTCAGTGAAGTCCACTCCCAGGTGTTCAAGGGGCAGTGTGCCTTTCAGCTGAATACCCGGAGGTTTTTGTCTGAATACCTGAGAGGCAGCATTAACCTGTGAGCAGGCAGCATGGCCTAGGTGGGTCGCTTGGTGTGTTTGGCTCACCAGAGTGTGTGCCAGCTCCTCCGGTACCAATAATTTGCCACTTGGCAATTCCCACCATCCCTTTTCAGTCTTGATGGCTCCTTCCGCCTTGGCTAACCTGACAGCCATTGTCCTTGTTTTATCAGGCTAGTGCCATCAGTATATAGGACCCAATTAGGGTCTGGAACCTTGAGCCCTTCTTTAAAGCAAACCCCAGATACCTTACCTCCTCTTTGTAGATCTGTGCCTTCTTCTTCAACACCCGGTAACCTGCTTCCATCAACAGCTGGAACAGTGCATTTGTCCCTTTCCAGCATTTTTCCTTGGTCTGAGACAGCCAGCAGCAGGTCATCCCTGTATTGTAGGAGCTGACATCCATACTCTTCCGGATGGAATGAATCCAGATCAGAAGCCAAGGCTTCCCCAAAGATGGTTGGGGAGTTCTTAAACCCTTGTGGGGGAGTCCAGATGAGCTGTTGTTTGGTGCTCCTGACTGGATCTTCCCATTCAAAGGCAAAGATGGGCTGGGGCGAGGTGTATGCAGAAGAAGGCATCCTTGAGATCTAGGCAAGTGTAAACTTTAGTCCTCAGCGGGAGGAGGCTAAGTAAGGTATAGGAGTTTGGAACAGTGGGGTGTAAAGTCACAGTAGCCTGGTTGACTAGCCTGAGATCTTGTACAGGCCTATAGCCCTGTCCTCCTTCCCTTTTGACTGGCAGGCTCAGCATATTCCAAGCCGACTGGCACTCTACTAGAATGCCTGCTTGTTTCAATCTATTGATGTGGGGCAATATTGCCGGCTCAGGCCTCTATCCGTAGTGGGTACTGGTGCTTTCTAACCGGGATGGTGCCTGGTTTGAGTTCTATTATCACTGGGGCATGATGTTTAGCCAGCCTGGGGGGAGGGAGAGTTGTCTTCCACCCAGACCTCAGGGAATAATTGAGTTAGCTCTCTCATGCTCTTCTGGCCCACCCGGTTTTGCCTTCAGAGGTTCATGCAACCTCCACTCATCTTGGGGTGGTATTGAGAGAGAGGGCAAATAAGTCATAGAGTCCATCCAGAAGGTGGGCCTCTCCTCAGGGGAGAAAGTCACCTGTGCTCCTAGTTTGGAGAGCAAGTCTCTTCCCAACAGGGGTACTGGGCACTCAGGAATGTAGAGGAATTCATGAATCATTTGGTGCCCCCCCCCCATCTGACATTTTCTGAGCTGGCAAAACAGTTTAATCATCTCTTTTCCCGATACCCCAGTTACAGCGGTAGTCTTTTTGGACAGTGGGGCCACAGGTTTTGTTACTACCGACAGTTCTGCTCCTGTATCCACCATGAAGTTAATGTTTTGTCCCCCACTTTTACAGTTACCATGGGCTCTCAGGGACCTGATATCTCTGAGCCCTGGCAGCCCTAGTTAATTTCCAAGTCAGCAAGCCCCACAACGCGGGAGCTTCCTCTTCCTTCCTTGCCTTAGGGCATTCATTCTTCCAGTGGCCAAAAGCTCGGCACCGGCACACTGGTTTGGCTGTAACGGGCCCGGGGCCTCCCTTGGGACTGGTTGAAGGACTGTCCTGTCCCTGGGGCAGAGGAGGTTTTCTGGAGGGCCCGAGATAGACTTTCCCAGAGCAGCAGCTTGCACTGTAAGTCTCTTGTCTGTTCTCTTTCGTCCCCTCCGGCTCTCTGGCAGAGCGCAGTCTCTGCTTAATTCCAATGTCTCCCTCCCCTTTTGTCCGTACTCACCGGGAGAGGCAGGTATAGCTTGGGCGGTTTGGTTGGAGCCGGATCCTGGAAGTGTTGGCCAGAGGCTTCTGTCACCAGGATCGGAGCCTGCCCAAACGGCGGCTCTAGGACCTCCGGGAGAGCTGGCTGAGGCCCACTTGATTCACATTCCAGGATGTCTGGCTCTAGGTCAGTGATCACACCATTGTGATTATCTGGGTCGTGGAGATCTTTTTCGTACAGTTCTTGTATTCTTGCCGCCTCTTCTTAATGTCTTCTGCTTCTGTTAGGTCCATACCATTTCAGTCCTTTATCAAACCCATCTTTGCCTGAAATGTTCCCTTGATATCTCTAATTTTCTTGAAGAGATCTCTAGTCTTTCCCATTCTGTTGTTTTCCTCTATTTCTTTGCATTGATCGCTGAGGAAGGCTTTCTTATCTCTCCTGGCCATTCTTTGGAACTTTGCATTCAAATGGGAATATCTTTTCTTTTCTCCTTTGCTTTTTGCTTCTCTTCTTTTCACAGCTATTTGTAATGCCTCCTCAGACAACCATTTTGCCTTTTTGCATTTCTTTTCCTTGGGGATGGTCTTGATCCCTGTCTCCTGTATAATGTCACGAACCTCCATCCATAGATCATCAGGCTCTCTGTCTATCAGATCTAGTCCCTTAAATCTATTTCTCACTTCCACTGTATAGTCATAAGGGATTTGATTTAGGTCATACCTGAATGGTCTAATGGTTTTCCCTACTTTCTTAATTTCAGTCTGAATTTGGCAATCAGGAGTTCATGATCTGAGCCACAGTCAGCTCCTGGTCTTGTTCTTCCTGACTGTATAGAGCTTCTCCATCTTTGCCTGCAAAGAATATAATCAATTTGATTTCGGTGTTGACTATCTGGTGATGTCCATGTGTAGTGTAGAGTCTTCTCTTGTGTTGTTGGAAGAGGGTGTTTGCTATGACCAGTGAGTTCTCTTGGCAAAACTTAAAAAATATCATCTTTGTGAAAAAAATCTCTCTTCCACAGAGTATGACATCTGTCCTTGAGTTCATAAAGAGAGTAGACTGAATATAAATAAACTTTTATCTTACTGACTTACCAGGTAAAGTGACTAATCATTATGGTTTGGAAATATTCATAAGTTTTTATTTTTTATTTATTTATTTTTTCCATTTATTTTTATTAGTTGGAGGCTAATTACTTTACATCATTGCAGTGGTTTTTGTCATACATTGAAATGAATCAGCCATGGATTTACATGTACTCCCCATCCCGGTGCCCCCTCCCACCTCCCTCTCCACCCGATCCCTCTGGGACTTCCCAGTGCACCAGGCCCGAGCACTTGTCTCATGTACCCAACCTGGGCTGGTGATCTGTTTCACCCTAGATAATATACATGTTTCGATGCTGTTCTCTTGAAACATCCCACCCTCGCCTTCTCCCACAGCTTCCAAAAGTCTATTCTATACATCTGTGTCTCTTTTTCTGTTTTGCATATAGGGTTATCCTTACCATCTTTCTAAATTCCATATATATGTGTTAGTATACTGTAATGGTCTTTATCTTTCTGGCTTACTTCACTCTGTATAATGGGCTCCAGTTTCATCCATCTCATTAGAACTGATTCAAATGAATTCTTTTTAATGGCTGAGTAATATTCCATGGTGTATATGTACCACAGCTTCCTCATCCATTCATCTGCTGATGGGCATCTAGGTTGCTTCCATGTCCTGGCTATTATAAACAGTGCTGCGATGAACATTGGGGTGCACGTGTCTCTTTCAGATCTGGTTTCCTCAGTGTGTATGCCCAGAAGTGGGACTGCTGGGTCATATGGCAGTTCTATTTCCAGCTTTTTAAGAAATCTCCACACTGTTTTCCATAGTGGCTGTACTAATTTGCATTCCCACCAACAGTGTAAGAGGGTTCCCTTTTCTCCACACCCTCTCCAGCATTTATTGCTTGTAGACTTTTGGATAGCAGCCATCCTGACTGGCGTGTAATGGTACCTCATTGTAGTTTTGATTTGCATTTCTCTGATAATGAGTGATGTTGAGCATCTTTTCATGTGTTTTTGTGCCATCTGTACGTCTTCCTTGGAGAAATGTCTGTTTAGTTCTTTGGCCCATTTTTTGATTGGGTCATTTATTTTTCTGGAGTTGAGCTGGAGGAGTTGCTTGTATATTTTTGAGATTAATCCTTTGGAAATATTCATAAGTTTGTTAAAAAATGCATTTATTTATTTATTTGGTTCCATTGAGTCTTAGCTGCCACATGCAGAATCTTTGTTGTGGCACGCGAACTCCGGAGGTTCTGGACTCAGTAGTTGTCACACATGGGCTTAGTTGCTCCTTGGCATGTGGAATCTTAGTTCTGGATCAAGATCAAACCCCTGCCCTTTGCGCCGGAAGGTGGATTCTTAACCACTGGACCACCAA